TTTCAAAGATTTTTTATTCTATAATTTCTGAAAAAATTTATAAACTGTGAAAAAGTTTAAAGTACTTTTTTCTGAAATCTTCTAAATTTAAAATATGACAAATTCTTAGAAATGTTATATTATAAACAATTTTTTTCATCACGGTAGTTTCTCCACCGCCAATCAGTTCTTTTTTGAGCGAAGAACGATCGCTTTTTCAACCTTTCGAATTTTTGCTATTGTAAAAACTGTTTTGATACATATACATCGAAATACTTTTCAGGCTTGAAGGAGGTTGACGCGCGGCTCCAAGCGGAAGCTGCGGGTGGTGTTACTCTTTTGAAGAGTATTGTGATCCGTTTAGAAGATGCTAGAATTCTCGAGAACATTGACGACATGCGAAAGAGACTGATGCAATTAAAAAACATCAATGGCGATTTAATTCGAGAGTACGAGATTCGCCTGAACAGTCATCGAGAACTCGCGGCTAGTTTAAAAGAATTGAATATTGGAGTGCAGCGTGCAGCGAGACTCAGAGGTAACGTCTTTATCGCATAATCATTATTCTTTCTATTTCTTAGCAATTATCTTTATTCTTGCAGTTGGGAAAGCTGCTTCCAACGCAGTAGCTCGTTGTAGAACGGCGATACAAGATGAAAATCCGAAAGCCCTTGCACTTGCGATAAGACATGGCTAGAGAGATCCTTGCAGAAGTTTAATTTATTGCTGGCCAATTTAATAGTGAAAAATAGTGCTTAATTACTTATTTTTAATATTAAAAGCACTGAATACTAGTAATCAATCACTACCTTCAAGTATTAAATTTTTATTAAATTAAATAAAATACAGAACTCTTGTTATTAAATAGAGTTGTTAGATTAACAGGGCAATAAGAATAAAGATATAAAATTTAGAATAAATAATTAGAGAGTTACATGTATTAAAAAAGAAAAATTACAAGTTTCATATAGGCTACGAAATTGAGCTACGATATTAAATTTTTATAAAGGAAATATATCTTCAGGCTAGTTCTTATACTCAATACAATTACCGATTTCGCAATTACATTACGATTTTTTTTAAACAAATATTTTAGGACTGCTGGCATTGTCTATATTATTGATAAAGATGAAAGTACGAAACATTGCTGTGAATTCGTGCACATAAATAATTTTTCTTACAAATATTAGTTTATTAAACAGTTAAATATAATCTTCTTGTCTTGTTAAAATATATAATCTTTACAGTGTTCTCTCTCGATGTTTAGTAGAATAAAATTATTGTTTAGTTTTGGATCTAATCTAACGATTACAGTAAATTTCCGCGAGCAGAGATGCTAAATCTTCTTCTCAATGGAGGAGGTGACGGTCGACGGAGAGTATTTATGGTTCCGTCTGTGGAAGCTCTCAGTCTAAAAGATGTTTGATGACTGCTGTGTAATTCGGTCAGCAATCTTAATACATTCATGAATACGGCCGTGACCTGTCAAATGAAAAATAATCGTGAATTGTCATGGCCACCGTTACATAAAGATTCGATATTATCATTTAAAAGAGGAATATCTTTTAATAACATGAACGTTATCATTCCCACGTCTCTGTTTCTTTTTACTTTGCATATGTTGCGTGATTATGATATAAATCAATTACTGTATATTTTTCTCATCTCCTCGCTATTTTTTTAAGCATTTTTTTTATCCGCAAGCAAGATTATAAAATACTCTGATGTTGAATCTTATCTTATTTCTTTGCAAACTTGCAACGTAATTTTTATATATTAAGCAAGCGTGATCACATTAATGAAATTATTATTAAACCTATTAATAGAAAAAAATCAAAACTAATATTTTATTAAAATTACAAAAGAATTATATTTTAAATATAAACGGTTTTGTTTCTAATCTTATTATATCTTAGATACTTCGTTTCGTATTAAAAAATCAGAGAGAATTCATTAGCTTCATGATGTTTCATAATTTATACTTAATAATTTTCATTATTAAATTTCAAATCAAATTTTATGAATCTGTTTAGAACAAAAAACAATATTTTATTTTCAATTATTCCCAAAAACTTTGTACAATATAAATAATTTGTATCGCTTCAATACTCGATTATCGCGAAATACTGAAATGCGTCGATCTCCTACCACGATCATTACAATGCGTAGATAAAAACACTAAAATGCTGTTGTTCCTATCGTGTGCCTTGAGACCGAGCGATATAGATTTGTTTATGGCCCCGCGATCACGCGCAAACGCCATGGCACGCAGAATAAACAATCGTTTAGAATAATAATCTAACGATTAGCTGATGTATTAACTGCATCGGATATTTGTTCTGTGTTCATTTATAGCCTATTGACTTTTTTTCGGGGCAAGAATTTAAGCTGAATCGTTCTTTTCAGATTTAATAAAAAATTAATTAATTTTTATCTTTTTAATGCTTTCTTTTGTGAAAAAATATTGTAGGATTAGCGAATGAATTTTTAGAATGAGTAATGTACAATATTTGAATAATATATTATTATTTCCAATAGTTTTTTCGCGAGTTTAATAGCTAGTATTTTTTTCAACACTGTTAAATATCAGAGAAGCAATAACTCAATCCCTGAAAAAAATTAAATAATATTTTGTTATTTTTAACTTTTAAAAGATTTCTCTACTTTATTCTTTATATTCTTCATACTACTGTTTACTTTATTGTTTTTCTTTTGTATTTTTTGTAATTTTATTTTTCTTTATTTTCTTGTCATTACTCTTAATTTTGTACGTATGCTTTTTAGAGGGTTCAATCTAAAACGTTAATAGAGACTCTATTTCTTTTATTTTACGTTTTATACAATCGTCGAATCGATCGAATATGTATATACGCAGGTCATTACCTGATCAACCGATTCCCTTACGGAAATCTCGTGGAAAGCGTGAGCCTCGATTTCTTTTGCCCTTTTCTGGCCTTCTAGGGCAGATACCATGCGTTCACCCGGAGAGCAGGAGAGATCGGCCTTGTTTCCCACAAGCAGCACAACCGGTGGCACCTTTCTGCCTCTTCTCGCGTGTGATACCAAAAACCTGAAAGTACATATGACGTGTATACACTTCGCGCATTTGAACGCGCAATTTAACATCGTAAAATGCAATTATTTCATTTTACTTACAAATTGCATTTTACTTTTTCCTAATAAAATATGTAGGGAAAGAAAAAGCACAACATACCTCAGACGAGAAGTTTCATCGAAGCTGACCCGGTCCGTTACCGAATAAACGATAACTATCACATCGGCCCATCGTAATTTCGGCTCCACGGAGGCGGGTGGATTTCCGGGAGGATCCGCTATTTCCCACGAAGATCCCAAATGATTGTCGACTCGATAGATTCTGTCCGTGGTGCAATCGTATTCGCCTATGAAGCGTTTTGTGGCGAATCGCACTGCTAAAGCTGATACCAGAATTAACAAAGTTAATAAAGTAAAAATAAGATATATTAGCAAATAATAAACTATGCCAAATTTAATACATTGTTTCAGTTAAATTAACTTGTTGATATAGGAGCAGTAGCGTTCTAGAAATTATGTAAATGGTTGTATAAATACTCAAAGATTCGTCTTCATATGACACGAATGTTTCCAGTATGAAAGAGCAGGTAATATGGAAGAGTTTCTATTTCGTTATTTTTATAATAATAATTTGATAATTTTATATATATACATATATATTAATAATAATGCTAAATTTAATGTTGTAATTTTTTAGGAATATAAATGACAAGTAACTAAACACTAAGGTTGGGAAAGTCATTTAAAAACAATTTTTTTTTAAATTTTGCAAATGAGTGAGGATGGAAAAAAAGTTCAAAAATTTGATATTTAAAAAATGAATACACCATTATATAAAGCATAAAATATCATAAAACTTTTGTATAGTTTTGAAGATATTTGCTGAAAACGATAAAATCTTTTTTTTTTTTTCGAGAGAATGTTTCAACCCCTAAACTTTGAGACACGCTGATAAAAATATAAATCTAATATCATCTGATGCTCTACAACATATCCAAAACCTATTAAAATCAGTGTAAAACAGCTCCGATCTTTGTTAGTTAAATTAATGGCAATTAAATTGAGTAGGAGCGACCCCCTTTATCACGATTAAAAATATCTCCATTTGGGTATAGTTTCACATGATGAATTTAACAGCATAGAAAATAAAATATATATAATAATAAAAATTCAAATTGCACACGCTCCTATATCAACATTTTGCTTGTTACATATCTTCTTGACTTCAGGAAGCTATATGTTTTACGTTATCCATTGAAGAAACTGTTATCGATTACTCAGTTACTCACCTGACTTGCCGACGCCTGGTTGGCCCAGTAAGATTACTTTGACAGTCTTGAAAGTGTCCTTGTTAAGGCCGAGGCCCCAGCAAATTGGCGGACTATTTCTCTTCTTGAGAGCGGATGCTAACGGTGGACTATCACTATCCATGTCTTTATCGCCACTGATCCGTCCGTAGGGTGTCCCATCGATTATGAACCCCTTCGTATGATGATATTTAATGGATGCATTATTAGCAATCTGTCGTACGCTTCTTGAAGGGTGGGGGCGTAATAAACAATACACGGGCAACACGTCATTGTAACTGCGTCATTAACTATTATTAGTATATTACATATATACTATAACGTATATTACGTTATAGAATCTATACGTGTACATAAATTGCAAAAAAAAAAAACGCACGATGCAGTAATAAGCGTCATAAAATTCTATTCCCAGACTTTTCCGATTTCATTGCAAGAATCCGGATCGCGTAGCCTCAGCTGATTTCGTGAGGAAATTGTTGACCCGTCGTATTTGGCGCGCACGTGCCGTCGCATTACGTCGCGACGATTGTTGTTGTTATTTTACGTAAGACCTTAATGGATCGAGGGACTCTCCTCGGTGACTTTTATCACTTCATATATACGTCTTAACTTTCACGCCGCATTTTTTCCGCAGACACGGCGCCGACGCTCGACTGATCGTCAACGGCTCGTCGCCTTGTTGCGTTACTTACATCGAGTCGCATCGCAGTTCGATGCACTTGCTCGTACACTTGTCTCGTCCGTGAACGTATATTGCGACTAATTGTTTACTACTATGTTCAGCACCGCATTGCATTAAATATAATATTCTTCTTGTCTCTCTTCGTCTTCCTTCGCACTTCGTTTTCTCGTGAAATGTTTTTAAATTCATAATGTAAAATTGTACATCTAATTTGAATTATTATTATTTTTAATCATTTCTATAGGTCGCCGCTGCTTTTACTTAATATGTTAAAAATTTAATTAAAACGTTAAAGTTAGATAATTTAATTTAAAAACTGTGTTAAATTTGTCCCAAATTTAGTCAATTATTTATTCAGTTCACTAATTGTAAGTGCATTTACGCGGCGTCGATTCTCATGCGATGAATATATAGTTCGAATATCATAAATATAGTTCGAATAAATGAATGAATAATATATATGAATACAGATGAATAAATTTTTTTTTATTTATGGGAATAAATAAATAACTACTTTTTATTCAGTTTGAATGAACACATCTGTGAATATGATTATGAATATTTTTTATTTCGCATTTATTCTCACCTTGTGACTATTATACATTATTTAACACGCTCCTTATAGTAAAAGCATCGACATAATAGCTTGAATTTTCTCCTCGATATAATCATAATTAGTGTATATATAGTTATCATGTTTCTCTTCGGTATAATCGTAATTTTCGACCAATTACTTATGAGCAAGGGTAATTGCTTAATTGCTGATACTGTGATATAATTCGTAAAATATTTTGCCTTTGAGTTTATTAATATAACGTGTGTTACGTTATAGAATC